GATTGCATGTGCCTGGGAAGTTGATTTGTGCAGGTTTGATGAAATTTTTCGAACTGGGGAGAGTTACCGTTTGAATTCGCGTCGGACGCATTTCTTCGCGCAAGGCGCGACTTGAAATGGGAAGTTTCTGGGTGAATCGCGCTGGGCGTGATGAGGACAGCGCTGGGCGCAATAGAATTTACAGGTCTCTGGTTGAGAATTGCACCGGGCGCGCACTTAACGCGCTGGGCGCGCATTTGTGTTTTAGAATTTGACTTTATAGTCTTCATAAAAGTTGTAGCCTTGGATGTCAGCTTTCCAATGGCACTGGAATCACTCAAAAAGGAGTTTTAGAACTCCAGATATGGCCGTTTTAGTGAAGAGGGGTCAGGCTGCCAGCTTTACCCATAGCTGTTGCGGTTTTTAGAATATTTAACAAGGTAGATGAATGAATTAAGACTTGGTGTATTCATGAGAGTTGTAGAAAATTTGATTATCTTTCATATGAAATAAGGATGAGCATGGTAGGAGTAGTATAACTCATGATGTGCTATTTTCTGTGAAGGTTGCCATTTTCCATTTAGTGATTTGGTTAAGTTTAAAGTTGTTTTAGGTGCTTAGGTTGATTGGTGTTGTTTGGGTGGGTAATTTGACAAGATAGATGAGTTGTAAATAAGAGGATTGGGTCGTAGAATGTGTTGAACATGTCGTACGTTGTGGAATTGTTGATCATGCTATTTTATGTTGTTGATGATGAAATGCTACGCTGTATTGGATACATATGTATGTGCTGATATTGGTGTGTTGCGCTGAGCGCGGCCCTTGTCGCGCTGGGCGTGAGACTCCTTGGGAGTCTCTACCCTGTGGGCGCTGGGCGCGAGACCAATGGGAGGTCTCTGCCTTCCCCGCGCTGGGCGCGGGTATGGGCATGCCGGGCGCGCGAGACTCCTGGGAATCTCTGTCTGGCATGCGCTGGGCGTGTGTGAGCCTTGGGCTCTCTGGCTGAGCCCCGCCAGGCGCAGGCATACCTGCGCTGGGCGCGCTAGCCCCTGGTGCTCTCTGGTTGTACCGCGCTGGGCGCGACCATGATTGCGCCGAGCGCGGAGATGAGAAATTTATATATGTTGGTTAATGTCGTTTTATGCTTAGTTGAGTTGTAGACGAATATAATGTGATGACTAATGGATGATGTTGGTTGATTGATGTTGAGTTGTA